TGCGACCTTATATATACGTATACCTTCAATTTTAATAATGCAATAGCTCTCGACGCTGGAGAATCTCTCGCTTACGGACGCATTATTTATTTAAAAAAATAAACCCCCGGCAAAGCTAAATAAATAGTGCACGACTGCAAAATCTTACATAATGCTTTCGCCATCTCGGCTGAGCACTTGAGCCATCGTTTCGAGCTTCAAAATTATATATAACGTGTGCGCCCTGCATGTGCGCGACTCTATAAAACTTAATAAAAATTTAATGGCCACGATAAGTGACTCTTTTTCGAGCGAACGAAACAGCAACCTATAATAAAATAAGCCAAAGCTCGCGGCCTCATGAAAGCTGAATGCGGCGGCGAAAGAGCTCGAGTTCCCGCGAGCTAGATGGAAAAAAAAGGATGGAAAAAACCTTTTCTCTCACTGCACCGCACCCATTTTTTTCGTTTGTTGTGGCATCGAGCATTAGAGAAGAGAAAAAAAAAGAACACACTGAAAAGAAATCTACAACGTCGAGGCTGCAGTACAGACATGCGAACCGCGGCATAATATATATAAATAATGTAGCATTTTTTATTTATTTTGCGTAGCGCTCATGCACGTGTACCGTATTATATCTACACGTGAACTCTCGGTGCTATATCTCTTGCGCTCGTTCCTGGGCTTGCTTTGTATTTTAATAATCCTTTTGCATGAAAATTCTGGCTTCGTGTATAATATAATGTAACAGGCAGCTGAATGAGGAGAGCTGCATAGATGGCTGCGAGGAAAAAGAAATTGGATACGTATACAACGTAGCCGTCACAGATGACGACAACGACGCTGCAGAAAAGAAATCGTGAATTCCACGATGGAAGAGACCCAAAAGAAGACGGCGACAAAAATAAAGAAAAAAGAAACGGGAATTCCGGGGAAAAGCAAGTGGCGTACTTTGAGGATGCAGGGACTGTTATTTACTTCATATAAATATACGCGGGCGAGCGAGCGCGAGCGAGCAGCGCAGATGCCGAGAGGCATCTTAAGATATAGGAGCTTCGAGGCCGAGGTAAGAGGGGCAAAAAAAAATCTAACGAAGCCTTAATCATTTTTCAGCGAATTTTCGGTTTCTGCTACAAGCTGATTCGGCGAAATTTTTCCATTTCGTCGCTTCGCCAAGTTAGCTCGACGATGGCAAAGGTCGACGACGACGATGGAAAGAGAGGATCGCTCTCACTCGCAATCGTATAAAACGCTCTTTTGCTCTTCCGTCGCTCGTTCGCAGATATATACATGTATATATATCACGTGTGCGCTATATGCTGCTGCGGGCTAAAAAATAACGCTCTATCTCGTCGAGCTACGTGAAATCTCTGGAGTCGAGCGGCGCGCCGCGTGTTTCGAATTCGATCTTGCACGAGATTCACGTGACATTAATTCAACGGCCAATTGGACGAAAATATCTCGCTGCGCGACTATTAAATTTGCAAGCGCGCGCGCGATGGCAAAGGTTGAACATTTTCCGCGCTGCTTAAAGCGAAGCGATGTTTAATTCTCAGGCTGGCAAATTTTTTTTTTTGTACGTACGTCAATCAGGATAAATTCGGCGAACGCCACTCGAGATCTTTAAAAAGGCCAAATATTAGCGTACGCATACACGCACATGCATGCATACTCGTCGTGTGTGTGCTGGACATGATCATGTATGTTAATTTTATGCAAATGCGGGTATATCTATTCACAAGAGAAATACATCGGACGTTGATTGCTCGTTTAGTGCAGTTGTCCTGGTAAGATGTACAATATATTATATTTCCCGAGCATCAACGGCAGCAGCGAAAAGCACCGAATGGATGAAAAAATCTTGCATCGCTATAAATCCGCATAAAATAGATAGATAAGCGAGAATGTTTTAATAACGCCAGCACGTATATAATACGGTCGCATGGCAAATCTTTCGGAGCGCGTATAAATATGTAAAAGCGCGTGCAACATCAACGACACAACGCGCCGCGCCCGTCTTAATGGAAATTTTTCTCGTTTCGTGGCTCGCGTATTATACACACATCTGACAGTCTAGCGCGTGTATAGCAAAAGGCAATATTTACCCTGTACAATATATGCGCTAGATTTTTTACTGCGTTAGCGTGGTATAAACTAAGATGCGGTGAAACGGAGAACATGATGTGCTTGCGGCGCGTTGTTCGTTTGCGCGATCCTTACGTTTCGTTAATGTTTCGCGTCGTAAAATCAGCATTCAGGGTATTATAATGCGCGTACGTGTTTTTTTCGTCATGAATAAAATATCGCGCCTTAATGATAGGCGGGCATTAGCGAAACAATGCACACGTCGGTGATTAATAAAAGGCCCGGCGGCTACCTTGCGCGCGCGCAAGGCAAATTTTTCAACCTACGTACGTACGGCAACGCGAGCATATAGACCGATATAATTTACGCGCACGTAGGGCCAGAACAATAAATGGCTCAGCTGCTATTATTATACGTGATATTTCTCAGGCCAGGCACGAGAATGTGTGTTTGCACTGCGGAGAGAGAGAAGCATATTGTTCGCAAGCGCATAAGAAAGAAAGCCTCGCGCGCTTCTGTGCGACGTGCGGTGGCTTCTTGCTATACAACTGAACATACACATGTATATCGTGTATGCTGTGCGACGACCTTCGCGCGTCACTCGCATATACATGTAAACGCGTGTTCCGAATTCGCGTCACGTTGAGGGGGTTACAAGGAGCAGCAGCGGCAACGGCAACGGCGACAGTAGCACCGCCATGTGTCCGCCGTGTATATTGGATCTTTCACAATGCCGCAAGCTCAAGCTCGAGGGCAGCGTACGGATCGAGGCATTTACCAGCTTTTACGAGCTTGTGGACTTTGGTGTGCACTTTCGATTTCTTCGGGCGCTTTGTTTTTCGCTCGCCGATGCACACTTAGTCCCGCAGCGTCTATTTTTTGTCCTTTTTTTATTATTTACCAACAGCCGCACCTCGTGCTTCTTTAAACAGACTCAGACAAATTCGTCAAGCTTTTCGTCGAGACGCATTATTTTCTAGAAAAAAAAAAAAAAAAAAAAAAACAATAACAACGACAANAAAAAAAAAAAAAAAATACGCACTCGACTCGCTCCCCTATGGCTTTTCTACTTCCCCGTTGGTATATACGTATACACGGCTCTCTCTCTCTCTCTCTCTCTCTCTCTCTCTGACATTTATACGTTGCGCGTACGACGCGGTAGAGAGGGAGGGAGAAGAAAAGAGAGATTTGGCGTCTGGCAGGGAGCTTTTTGCACACCTGGCCAACAGATAGGTCAAACAAACGCTGACACGCAGGGGGAGGGAAAAAAGCTGCGCGCGTGATAAATAAACGAAAGAATACGAGCGGTGTGTATATACGCGCGTGCGAGGAGCCCCGCCTTGTATACGCAATAGAAATAAGCATTGCTCGCTCACGTAGTATACGCAACGAGCGCGCAGATATACGGCGACGGAAAATCTATCTGTACACAACGTTTCTCTCTCTCTCTCTACCTCCCTTTCTCTCGTTTGCTGCTGTTGCTGTGTGTGTGTGTGTATGCACAGAAGGGCTGTGCCACGTGCAGCGAGCTTGCAGGTTCTGTTTACCGGCGCCTGGATCCATGTGTCTGTCTGTATGTGTGTGTGTATACACTCACCGAGGAGACGATTTATAGCTCGAGAGTGCAGAATGGAGATTCATTGAAAATGTTCGCTTGTGTACATATGGTTATACACACACATATACACACCCGTAAGCAATAGCTTGAATAGATTTCAATGAAAGCTCCCGACCCATTGTTGACTTGGAGTGGTAATAACCCTGTCTCTCTCCCTCTTGGCCCTCTCGGCCATACATATATATGCGAGGGCACGCAATTCATATGTATAAATGGGATTATCATTGCTCTGCACCGTCCCTGCAGCAGCACAGTGTCGGCGGCCCACTCGCAGCCCTTTTCTCTTTTTTTGCGCTCGATATCGTAATATAAACGGACGTTTGGACCCGATTCTCTTTCGCTGCTGCTGCGCTACACTGCGGTCTTCGTCGCACCCCGCGGCGACTATGCACGCGAACGGCCGGTTTTTCAAATTCAAGCTAGCTTTAAATTCATGTATAAATCGTGTTGACTGTTCACTCGATATTTCTGTTACCTGCGCGAGCGTGCGTACGCGCCAACATTATCGCGCGATTGCGTATACCGATATATGACTTTGTAAAATCCGGTAAAATGACCAACGAGCTGGATAACAAATCAATGCGATAGCCGTATAACGAATCGTTGCGTTAAATGCGTACGCGCGTGGCACGCGGGGGGATTATTTACATTAAAAATTGAGCTCGGCGCTAATACCGATGCACCGATGTTTTAAAGTAATTTAAAATATGGAAAAAAGCTCGTAATTTTTGTTTGTATCGTTTTGCCGGAGGCGAGGAAAATATCATAACTGTCAACACTCGGGAACGATGAGTGCACTCGAAAAATATAATATTGTTCGTGCTCTTGGTTGATTTATAACAGCTTTTCGCATATTACGCCACTTTGGATCAAAAACGTTTAAGGCAAATGAGAGAGCATAAAGTAAAGCCACGTCCTTCAAGCGCTCCGCAATCTATACAATCCGCATTTATGCACGTAAACGCGAGTTTGAAATTTATCAAAGAAAACCCGACGCGCGTGGCAAACGTGAATAACCCGTGTGTACCGGTGATTGCAAAAGCTGAAAATGGAATATTCATCCGCAAATGGTTTCTAGAAATAAAAGCTCTCGAGAATCGAGTTCTTGGATAAAAAAGCTTGCGCCGTCATAACCTCGTTGCGAGACGATCATGGGATCGTTAAAAGAAAAAAGAAGAAGAAGAATTTCAATGAACGACGATTTATTTTTCATCCGCGAATACTCGTCATGCATGTAGGATCGGAGATAGGCACTTGTTTATACAAGGACGCGCAGTAGCAGCAGACCACACGGGAAATTATAAAAATAAATACGCACCAAGAGCGGAGGTCGAAGCTGGGATGAGGACGAGAACGAGTAGGAGCTTTGCGACTAGAGTCGTCGTCGTCGTCGTCCATGGTGAAAGCGGCGGCAGTGCTGGGTGCCCTGCGCTCGGCACTCGGCGTCGTCGCATCTTCAGCGCATCAAGTGGCCTTTCTCCAGCCTTCTTCACCCCGGCCTTTTCTCCTGGCGCTCCGTTCGTATAGACTTTGCTTTTTCGCGTGCAGCAGCAGTAGTTGCCAAGCTGTAAAAGAAAACCATTATTCACTTAATTACTAGTGTAGCGCAAGCTTCGAGCTCGTTTCTATAGCTGCTATATAGATATATTATATATACGTATAGACAGGTAGGCAAGCGCAGCCCGAGTTTTTTCACATAGCTCTCTCTCTCTCTTATCTCGTCCGAGTCTATATACGCTCGCGCGTTCGTTCCCTCTCTGTACACGTACAGAGCCGGCTGTATACGTTCTTCAAAAAAATTCTTTCGCTTTCTCTTTTTTAGGGTGCAGCATACCTAGGAGGGTAGCAGCAGCAGCAGCAGCAGCAGCTGAAAGAAAAGGAAGAAAAAATTCTCGGCCTCCCCCCGATCCAACGCGAAAGAAAATCTTTTAACAAGCGCCTTTGCGCGAGGCGATGCTCGCCTTCGACTCATCTAGCTTGGCAATTTCCCGAAAAGAGGAGGATAGATATACTGACCTCGAGCTTCTCTTTCTCGCTCGGCAAGTGTGTATAATATAGATCTAGACTTTACTCTTCGATTAAAAGAGAGCTGCCTGCGCGCGCGAGCCGAAACCCATAGTGAAGGCGCGCGCAGTAGTATAACAGCAGTCAAAGGCTCCACTCACTCAGCCACTCTTCGCTCGGAATAAAAAAGAAGGAAGAGAGCCGGATGAAGAAGCAGCGAAGAAGAAGAGGAGCGCCGACTTTTTTCTCCGCTACCTGCTGCAGTGTGTACCTTACGACTAAAATATTAAAAGCAGCAGTTGCCCGGAATCCGAAACGCTACTAGTCTGGAGAATCCCATAGACGTGAAAAAAGAAAAAACGAGAAAAAAAGTTTAGCGCGGCAGCCTAATTCCATTATCCTACCGCGAGCTTCGCAGCAATGCTGCCTTATTATACATTAGACCGCCGCAAGCCGCGAAAAAGGCGTTTTCATTCGCGGTACCCGCCGCCGCCGCTACAACTACCACATTTCTCCCTCTCTCTCTCTCTCTCTCTCTCTCTCTCTCTCTGGAGAGGCAGAGAGGGAAAGACGAAGATTTATGTAAGGAGATGAATAACAATGGTAATACGTATATAGAGGCCAGGCTGCACGCACGACTGAGTGAGGGAGTGAGAGAGAGAAAGAAAGACCGAGAGAGCAAGAGGTGGTGGCGGAAGCCATGATGGTGAATATTCTAATGCAGTCCCTAAGGTTACTGCAGCACTAGCTTATTCATGAGCGTTGACTTCGGAAACTGTGTCTTTCGTCTTATGCTACCTTTTTTCTCTCCCTCTTTCCCTCTTAGCAACAGCGTCGAGGCAATAGTAGTAGTAGTAGTAGTAGTAGTAGTAGTAGTCGCAGCAGCTACGTCAGCCGATAAGGATAAGAGCTTGAGCTTTGCTTTGTCTTTTTATCCTTACGTACTCGCTCGCGTGCAGCTAGCGCATCTCCTTGGCTATCCTACCTCTTTTTGCCGTTTAGAGAGCCAGCTGACGTTTTACTCTGTGCTGCTGCTGCTACTGCCGCAAGTCAACGTCGAGCCATTCTTTATTCCGACGAGCTTTTTCTCTTCCCTTCTAGCTCTCTCTCTCTCTCTCTCGAGCTCACTGTATACGCGTGCATAAATTTTCAAGTAAAAAAGACTCAGACGCGTGCCACCTTGCCAAAGAGTGATTTTGCTGCTGCAGCTCGTCGCATGGAGCACTTTACTCGTTGCTGGCCTCGGCCAACCTGCTACTGCTGTATAGCTTATTAAATTATTCATTGGCGTCCCCGTGTGCGCTAGTGTGTGTGTGTGTGTGTGGGTATGCGAGCGACGAAAGCGAGAGAGTTTCGAAAAAATGCATGCATACGTCGTCGGGTGCGCTTTCACAAAGCGAGCGAGTGCCATAGCTACGAGAGAGAAAAAGAGCCAGTTCCACACACGCACACACTCGCAGCAGGATCTAAACTCGAACTTTTCGAGCGGTACATAATGTCGTATGCATATACAATGTATGCAATATACATACACTATATACAATATAATACGCGCCGGATGACGTTTATTTTTCATTAGAGCCGGGATTTCCCCTATATACTATTGTCGCTCGCTCTCCCTCTCTCGCGCGTATTATTATTATTATATATATCTCTTTCTCTCTCTCTCTCTCTCTCTCTCTCTCTCTCTCTCTCTCTCGAAAAATGCACGTACATACAATGTATATATCTCCGTGCACACCCGTGCACGCAAATAACAAAAAAAAGTCATGAATTTTTGCGCACTGTAATATCGACTTGCGAGAGCGCGCAACGCATTTCCGAGCATCGCGTAGTTTCGCAGTTTTACGCTTTACGAGCGTATAATACACGTTATGTGCATTTGCGTTAATTTGGAGCTCCCACGGAGGAAATGATGTTGTCGGATGAGAGAGTCACGCTTTTGTGCGCATTCATTGACCGTTTTTTTCCCCCGAGCTTCTTTCTATTATCGCTGTCGTGTACATTCGTATTATATATCTACGTGGATATGGCGCGCGTTCGATTCAAAATTCGCTGACCTGAATTATTTTTTGAATCCAGTTACACGCCAAGTCGTGCGATGCGTCGCCCGCTCCACCCTTCGCGCGTGCTGGATTTTATTTAGCGTGTACGCGAGAGAGATGGCTTTTTAATATCGATGAGTGATTTATATCTGATTTAAGCTTGTTAGCCGGGGCTGAAAAGCTTCTATTGTTCGTCGGGCATAGCTTGATCTACACGATGTCTTCATTATTCATGGATTTATAATGTATTTGGAGAGGTACATTCATTGTCAAAAAATCGCGTAAAGATGATAGAAATTAATGATTGAAAGTTGTGAAAAATACAACTCGATAAAGATGCTCGCTTGAGATAAAATTTTATTTTCAATCGACGCTTTTATGAGTTGATAGTTTAAATGCAAGCGGTTATATTTCATTTATATGATAAGACAATATCGATACTCGCCACCAATATACGTGAATTGAAACGCGATAATTGGAATGATATTTTTTTTCATCGGATTAAATCGCAGACCGGTATATAATATTAAAGTACGTTTCAGCATGCAACTCGTTCTTATCTCGATAAGGTGTTTTAAATCAATTGAAAATGTTCCGCAGGCGGGGGCGCGACTGCAGTTCCAACAAGTTTCAAAGCGTTAATCAATTTATAGGAAGAAAATTCCGCAGACTTATCGACTTTTCCGAATGATAATACTCGGCGACAAGCTCGAATGGGATTAAAATTAAATTCTAATCCGGCGATCAGAGGGCCCCGGCTGTGTGTGTTGATAACATGTAAGTGCGCGTAATGCAACGAGTGTCGAGCTTTCGAGCTTTCGAGTAGTAATACATCGTGCAGTCAGTCAAACTCGACGAGAGAGTCGGCGTCGATCCAGTGTTACACATACAGTGAGCTGGTACTGTGGCAGGAGTCGCAGTGAAATTAGCAGCAGTGCGGAGTCGACGCACATCGGATGTAACATCCATCTCGATGTCTAACTCTACATAATTCGGAGCCAGAGGTCCAAACGGAATACACATAGGGGTGCACGCGCGAACTCGAGTGCTATTATCTCTGCCGCTCGGTCCGAAATAAATCCTTTTCCTCCTTCTCTCTCTCTCTCTCTCTCTCTCTCTCTCTCACGGTTGGTCTTATCGGGCTGCAGGGCCGCCACCGCTAGTCCCTACGTGGGGCCAAAACGGATTCAAAGTTTGTCTACTACTTCTCGGGGCTTGGATGATACAGACGTGAGTCGCAGTCGTCGTCGTTGTCGTAGCTGCAGTGGCCCAGCCCGTCGTATCATATGAATAATTCAATTATTACTTGCTACTCCGATGCACGAGGCTGAATCTCGCTCGTTGCTAAACTATATTATATACGTATGTACGTATTCGCGACCTCGTCCGCGTAATGGATGATCCTTGACATCGTCCCCCATGGTAATCTGGGCGCGTGTTCGACGTACACACGCGCACACAAATGCACATATTTGCACACACACGTGTGCGCCAGTCCAAATGGAAATCCCACAACGAGCGCGCTGCAGCACGCGATGCTTTTGTCACTGTCTGCGTACACATTCACGTACACACACACACACACACGCGAGCAAATCGCGAGTTTTTGCCAGCTCTCGGGTGTAGCGTGCGCATCCGTGTTGGTATATAGACGCGGTGCATGTAGGGAGCAGCAATGCATGGGTGCGCGAACGAGGAACATCGACATTTTCATTCAATCAGTCACGGCTGGACGCGCTGTTTTTGTTGCACACTGGCCAGCTCGACCGTCGGCCTCCCTCGGCATAGAACTATACCTAGTACTGACAGTGGCTCTCGCGGACGTGTGACACCAGCGGCGATACATGATCGGAAGTGCGCAGCTTCGTGCCAGCCCCCCATGTCGATCCCTCTCGCCAGCCAAAGTTCCTCTGCACATTCAAGTTTCCAAATGCTACAATCTCTCTCTCTCTCTCTCAATCCCTATATATCTATCTCTTCGTATGTGTAGATTGACTATACTCTCGCGCATGTGTGTGTGTATAAAGCCATTGTAGCTCGCTTGGCCATGGCATCTCTCGTGTCGACGGAATAGAGCAAGAGATAGATAGAGAGAGAGGAAGAGTAAAAGGCGCGCAGCAACTCTTTCGCTCGCTATTACGAACCACGTCGGCGCGCGGGTTATGTGTGCCCTGTACACACACATACACTGACGTAGCAGCAGCCAAATGCGTGTCGGAACCGTCCGACCAACTTTTAATGGACTGCGCGACTCGGGCTCCATGTAAAGTGAGCTCGTTCGCAGATTCTTTCGTTTGTGATTTGGCCTTCCGATGAATCGCGTCTCTGTGTGTGCTATATGGCAGCATCGATATGTACGCCCGGAGCGCAATTCGACGTTGTGCACTCGTTCGCCTCACTCTCCTCGCTTCGCAACGTTTAAACAAAAAAAAAACAAAAAAGCAAGCAACAAACCAATACCGAATTTACGAATTTTTTCCGACTAACGAATTCGCGCAGGCATTGTCGAACTATGC